CTCTTAGAAAGCACAATCCTAAAAGTCCTGGACACTCGAGAACACAGTTGTTATTTGGGACTAAAAATGTGACAAGAGTGCTGACCTTCCAAAGGACCTTTCAGTATTTTACTATTGTGCTACGTTTGCTAAGACTTGTCCCCTAGTATTTTTATTTCTGTGACATGCTACAAAATAGATGCTGGGTGTGACAACAGCTCACAAAGTATTTGCTAAATTCAAGGAAGGAGCACCCATGCTTTTCAACTATCTCGATTTGAGAAGTTTCAACTATATGGCTTTCTGAGAAGTTGAACAAAGTCAACATCGCACCTGGCTAATGAGCAGTGGGGTGAGCTGGAGCAGAGGCTGCATGAGCTGGGCATGTTGCACCACACTGTCTCCCATTTACACACATGATCACAGCACTAGAGGCAGAACGACTCCTTGAAAGCCAACAACTTTCCACCTGCTGCTCAACTTGACAGGGCTGCAAGCTCAGGAAATAGCCCATTTACTAACCTTGGCTTCTCTGCACCTAGTATTCAGCTCAGCCAGCCAAGTCAGTGGAGCCACAACAGCAGTTTTTACCCTTCTGGCAAGTGAGGAGACATGGAGAAAGCAGGGAGGAAAAGACAGAAGGCACCCTAGAGGAGGAGCAAGGAAAGCCACAGAGCCAAATATAAGGGTGTAGAGCACATTTCGCAGAAGGCACAAACTCCCACATCCATTTGGACTTGCTGTCTAAGCAAGAGTTCCTGGCAGACACTCTGACTTCTCTGAAAAAAAAAAAAATGTTTGTTTTAATAAAAGACAGGGAGAGAAAAAATAAAAGGTGAAAAGGAAGAGAGATATCAAAAGAACAGTAGCTACTCAAAAACAGGAGGCAAGGGCAGAGGCTGTTTGTCTTCTCCATCTATGGAAATGTGAAGGCACATGCCAAGGGAATAGCAACAGAGAACGGCAGCTGAGGACATTTGCTCCTTACAGACCTCCAGAAGAGTTCCTCCAGCAGAAACACCTGCCTTTCCCCAGGAGCCCATAGACAGTCCAACAGGGAGACAGGACAGCCACTGGAGTACTCGCAAGCAGCTACCGCTGTCTGCAAGTTGCCACACTTACCAAACATGTTTTGAGGGAAGCCACCTCATCCCAAATTTGTCACATGAACAGTTTGGGGATTTCTCTTGAATCCAGGTGAAATAAAGACATAAAAAATAATACACACACCCCGCCCCCCTCTCCCCAGACAGATCATCCTAACATGATGCACGTCTCTCATTTCCTACATATTAAAGAACAAACCGTAAAACCTGGTATTTACCAGCTTGGACTTGCAACCAACTTTCACTTCATATCCGTCTGAAGATAACGGGTAGGTCCCTCCAAAGGCTCACCCATGCAGATCAACGCTCAGAAATGTCACTCTTGCTCAGAGCCCCAAACACTTCCCATGGGAACACTGCCATACCCCAGCAACAGGGCAAGATCAAGCATGCAGTTATATGAACATGCAACGGACAGAGGAGGCTGCCATTCCAGTGCCAGCAGTTTCTAATTAACCTCACGTTCCAAAATCTGTTGGTGTGCCAAGGCAAAAATACAAATAATGTCAGCAAGGTAAAAGTGTTTATAAAAAGCATGCCCCTCCACTGTTAATCAGTGGCCTATTTGTTTATTTTTGGAAATTATCAGAAATAATGCCCTGCCTGCCACAGTAAGACAAAGAGTTGGAAATGTGGCGAAAGGCTTTTGTATCTGCTGATCAAGCAAAAGAAAACTTTTCTCAAGCTGCCCTTCTGACTCCAGTGTATCAACAGTTTGTCCCCCCTGCCCCAAGACTACATCAGACACCACTGCCCTGGCTTATATCATGAGTTGAAAAGCGCTAGTCAGTCAGACTCCAAGATAAACTTGTCAATAGCGAGGCACAGACATTCACATTCTTCCCTACCTGCTTGTGAGTGTCAGCTGTTTGTCTGGGAGCAGTTCCTTGAAAAGCATTTGCTGAGGGAGAAAAGGAAAGGGGGATGCAGAGGGCATTTCAAACAGGAAAAAAAAAAGGAGAGGGGAACACCACGAAGACTGCAAAGAGAAAATGAAAAAAAAAAAAAAAAAACCCCCTGTCCCCATCAGGTCCTCCCAACAACCTTCTTTATCAGAGGTTCATTGTCAATCAATTAGCCAAGGCAGCAGGGGTCTGCAGGAAGGGGGGCAGCTCGAGAGACAATGGTCTGCCCTGTTGTATTACTATTTAATCACTTTTCCTAAATAAATAAAGCAGCCCTGAGGTGCTGTCATGTCAAGGGAATTTATAACAAAAAAACCCTTCATTTTTCATTGGTCATTACTTTTCCTTCCCTCCCACCCCTGTAGGACTAGAGAGGGTTATTACTGTAGCCTTAAGTTCCATCTTTGTGTTGCCTGCCTTTGATTCCCACTCGGACCTTGCCACTTTCTGGCACTAATTTGTCAGGCCGAACAAAGGAGGGATTTGTACCTCCTGTAAGGTCTCAATTAGGAAAGGCTTCTGCTGTATTATGTGCCATTGGGACAGGACACAAAGACGGTAATTACAGGAATTTGCACTAAATGGCTGAAGAATTCACAGCAAAACTTTTCTTCCTCCCCCCTCCTCATCCTTTTCCAAGCTTACTCCTCCCAGCAGCCCTGGGGAAAACCGCTCTCAATGCCTGCAAGCTGTAATTACCAACAGCAGGCCCCTCAGGTTAAACAGCAGCCCGCCCCGGGGAAGGCGGCGAACTGCCCGCACGGAGCAAGGCACCACGAGAGGGTCTCGGCTTGCTGGTGTCTCTCCGCAGTCCCCTCAGCACAAACTTCTCTGACCCAGACGAGCTTCCCCAGTTTCTCCCAGTTACAGTTACAATTATTGGTCTCTTTGCACTGTGGTAAGAGCTGCAAGTGCCAGACGGCTTCTCACCGAGCAGCTCTAGGGGTCTCCGGCAGCCGGCTAAGGGTCCGCTCCGACAGTCTCTGCTGTGCGTCCCCTCCCTCCGGCACCGGGACTCCCAGCGGCCGGGCCTCACGGACCCTCCACGACTCACACTGCCCTGCACAAGACCGTTTGTTCAGTTCTGGAGACTTAAAGGGAGACCCCAGGAGCACTGCAAATGCCTCACCTTTATCAGGAAAAGGCTCATACAACTCTGACACAGTCAGAGCGCCTTGATTCTGTCGGAATACAGGAGTGAGCGCAGATGAATCATCCCATGCTTGGGAGAGGAAATCCACCCTTTTCTACAGAAAAGTCTGCTCCCATACTACATAACGCAAGACTAAAAACCTATTTCACATTGGCAACATGCATTTTGTTGCCACCCCAGGACCTGATCCTATTTTTCAGGAGGTCATTGCAAATGCTCCCTTGAAACTCTCCTGGACCTCAGTCAGAGAATAAAGCAAAATTACAAAATTTTCCGCTACTGAGACGCGAATTAAAAGAAATGAGGAGAAAAGAATGAAGCTTTAATGTCGTCTCAGACATTATCTTCAAATGAGGCTGTTAATCCTGCTGTCTTCTGGAGTTTCACAAGGCTGTCTGCTGGGTAACGCACTCGGCTGGATCCATCTTGGGGACCTTACTTCACCCACTCCCAGGAGTCTCCCTGCAGTTTTCACTCTCACAACCACCCTTAAAGGTAAGACACGACTGTTTTCTAACAGTGTTCAGGCAATCAGAGTCATCACAGGACCCAGGCACCTTCAGTTTCAGCAGTAGTTTGGCACATAAACACTCCCAGAAAAAAATGACACGAGGTCAAACACAGAGTTTGTGTGATTTGCCAAGAGCAGACCTGAATTCAGGCAGAAGCCCAAATATTGTGACCAAACCATCAACTGCAGTGAGTCCACCTTCACGATGCTCCAGCTACCAGGTGGATGCCATGCACTGTGCAGAGGTGAGCAGGAACACCTCCTGTGGGCAATTACCAGAGAGGGGCGAACTCAGCTGCACCCACAGCCAGTTCTGAGGGCAACCCAGTATTTCTGGGGCTCAGGCCTCCGCTGGAAGGGATTCAAGCCAGCCAGCAGGTCCTGGGCCCACACAGACCCTGCAGAGCCACGTGTGGTTCCAGAGCAACAGGAGACCTCCACATCAGAGTCCTACTGCAGAGCAGAGCGGGGAGGATGCAGGACCCTCACAGCTCCCATAACAAAAGAGAAAAACCCTCCAGATAAGCTGTTTCTGATACAGCTGACAATTTCTAAGTGAGCGTAACTAAAGCCAGCCAGAGAGTATACTCTAGGCACAAGTTACCCAAACTTGCTCCACAAAGATGGCCTTGCTGAAGTAAAAGGACAATGAACTGCATTCACATGGGTCCTCTCTATTTTCACTTCATTCCCAAACTGGATAAAATCATCATCTTGCCTAGGACTAGAGTCAGCAGTCAAATGAACTGAAATTTACAAGTAGATGCAGAGGCTTAAGGTCATGTTTTCACCCCCGCCTCAAGGGAATAACCAAGCAGGCGCGCTCGTGCCTGAACCTCAGTGCTAGAACACACGTCGCCAAGTGACAGTGTTTCAGGGAAGCATATATGCTTTGAGGAGTCTCCTCAGAAGGCCCAGAGCTGCAACTGAGTTTGAAAACCGACTTAGAGGAGACACAATAAAACAAAACAAAAGCACCTGAAGTTCAAAAGTTGCACTGTATCCAGAATTCAAATCCTTTTGATTCTGGATCACCTTTCCAGCGTTCTGAATCAAGAAAACAGCTCAGTCATCCTGTAAGGCAGGCCTGGCCCATGTAGTGCTGTATGCGCAGGATCTAACGTTTCAGCACTGCTCATCAAATGCAGGTGAATCCCTGAATATCCCGCAGGCTTTTCTCCACATTTTACAGACAGCAAGGAAAGGTTAACATGCCAAAGTGTCTATGGCCATAGTGAGAGGCAGAGAATGGCTGTGTGCTACTAAAACACATACATGCTCTTCCAAATGATTTTCTTTTCCTGCAGAAGGGGCGTGGGTGCAGATGCTGCAGCCTGGTTGCTTACCTGCACACTTGAAGCTCTGAACTGTGAGCCCTCTCTCTAGAGACAGAGTGGTCAGGATGCTCAGGAAGCTCGTGGTCACAGACTGGCGCTTGCTCTTTCTAAGATTGTTTCCAAATGGCCGATCTCCAGGTTTGTTCCTAAGCGTGACCTGTGGGTTCTGAGTTAAACTTCTAGTAGCAATGGCTGCTGCTCTCAGTGCCTCCATCCACTCTCGGGCCCTCTGACGGGTCTCTGCACGCAGGCGGAGGACATCTTGAGGAAAAATGACCTGAAAGCAAGAGTCACAGCCATCCTGAGTATCTGTCTGGACCGAGAGGCACACATCGACATTGTAGCTCAGCAGAGGATCTTCATCAAGCCTACCCGGTTGGAATGCCATGAGATAATACCTGTTCAAGACAAAAGTAAATGCCTTCCAGTTATTCTGGACAGTTAACCTATAAAGAGTCCCTGATTTGAGAATATTTTGGTACTCCTTAGTGTTTTCAGTCAAATTCATGGATAGGAAGAGCTCCATAGGCTTCTCTAACAATCCATTGGTTTGAGAAAGGTCACTGTTATTTTCAGGCTTTGGCACATTCTCCAGTTTCTCCTGCTGTCTTGTGAAAGCAGGTACAGAAGCACGCACCGCTTCCCAGAGTTTCTGTCCCCAGTCCAAAGCCTCCCATGAAGACTCCGCCTTCAGCTGTAGCTGCGAGTTGTCTGATAGGACAGCATCCACCACCTTGGTTGCAATGCAACCAGTAACAGTGATCCTTTGAAAATATATGAGTGGATACACGGCAGGAAGAGTCTGGTTTCCACTGCTGTCCAAGCAATACAGGTACAGTTTGTACGGGGAGAGCTCAGCGTAACAGGTTTGCCAGTAGCTGTCATTGTCTCTTCTAATTTCTAAGTGTCCCTTCTTCAGAATATTTGGGAACGCTGGCTTGTGTTCTGGAGGAAATAAAATGAGAATGTTACTATTAATTCTTTTCAAATAATCGTTTCAAATTGCTACATCATTCTGGCTTATACATCTCTCCTACCCACACATGATATGTCTGGAGGACAAGATCACAGAAATAGCCTTCACCCAACAGGTTATAATTATCAAACATAAGCACTGACTCTACATTTGAGCCAACAAGAATACAGCACTTTCTTACCCAGAGGTAACAAAACACTTTACTAAAATAGATTTTGACAGTGAGAAACACATACAGACTAGAACAACACCTTCCCCTCCTGACCCCCCCTCTTTCTCAGGTTCAACTTCATGCTCTCATACACAGCCCCCTGCCTCCCCCTGTCCCAGGCAGCACAGGGGGAAGAGGAATGGGGGGTTGTGGCCAGCTCCTCCTTCCCCCTCACAATTTTACCCTGCTCCAGCTTGGGTCCTCTCCCACGCTGCAGTCCTTCAGGATAAACCTGCTCCTGCATGAGCTCTCCACGGCCACAGTTCCTTCAGGAAACCTCCGCCTTCCCAGAACAGGGTCCCACATGTGGCTGCAGGGATATACCTGCTCCACCATGGTCTTCCCAGGGGCTGCAGGCAATCCGTGTCCCTGCGCCTGCAGGGCCATCTCCTCCTCTGGCCCTGGGCTGCTCCTCACGCTTTTCCCCTCACTCCTCACACCACCGCGCAGTGCTTTGCCCGTTCCAAAACGCGCTGTGCTGCAGAGACCCCACCCGTGGCAGAGGGGCACAGCTGTGCCCCGCCACAGGGCCGACGGAACCATTCGGAACCAGCCGGAATCGCCTGGCACCTGGCCTTACCCAGGACACGGCGAATGGAAAACCGTGCCCAGCAGCTTCTTACCACGTCTCAGCACGACCCGCAGGTAAGACATTTTGCACCGCTCTGTTTACTCGTGAGGAGCTTTGCTCATTTATGAGAGCCAGGTCCCGGACCAGCAGACCTGACCAGAAATGAGAAGCAAGAGGCTGCCCAGACTCAGACACAGATATCTAAGGGCCTCAGCACTCCAGGTGCTTCAGAGCAGACCCCTTCACAAACCTCGGCCCAAGCTGAAGTCGGGGGGAATTCTATTCATCCCCAGAAAGCCAGCCACACACAAGTCACTCCAGGCACCAAAGCAACACAAATTGAAAAGGAATTATCTAATGCATTTCTGAGTTTTAACAAAGGCTTCTGCGCAAAATTTGTTCCAATCTGATCTGCACCACTTGAGCCACCAATACACACAAATGTCGTATTTTCACCTTGGGCTGGACTTGTGGCTGTATGCAATTTTTCTTGCTCCCTGTATAAATTCAGTGGCATTCACTGTTACGCTCTAACACCAATTTAGCACTTGGCACCCCAAAACAACCCCCAGACCTGAGGAACAAATTCTTGCTCCCATTTGACTTCTACTCCACCTTTCCAGTAAGGGTACCTGCGATGGGTCTTGCCTTACAAACAGCGGCAGAGTTAACAGACACAAGCGAAGAAGCTTCTGCCTCCAGCTGTCCAATTTCCTTAGAGACTGCTATTCCAAACGCAGGAGCAAGGCAGCCACCTGGGAACAGCTCCTCATCCACTGCCCAGCACAATTAGGTCAAAACAAAACCAGCAACAATTGACCTTAACACACAGCGTTACGAACCGCAGCAATACAGGAGCTGTTTCACTCATGGCTTCTGCCCTCGGGCTGACAACCTTTGAAAGAGGGATAGGGTAGACAGCTAGAGGCACAAAATATTTTCAGCATCTCAGCCTAACTAGTTACCACTCGTGTTAACAGGCCACCCTCTAACAAGTTTTAGACATGATCACCTCTGAGTATACCCGGGATGTCTTCCATGCAGAATTAAGAGAACAGAAGCAGCTGGGCTTGACGAAGCTTGGAAACAAAGATCCAAACATGAGGCTGTATACAAGTTACTGCATCCCCACGTGTACTGGGCTTCCCAGCTAATACAGCCAGGTTTGCTGCCCAAGCTGCTCTCACCACCGCTGGCTAATGGGTGAGTCTGTCTATCCAGGGGCACCAGGAGAGTCAGGGAGTATGAGTATTTGAGGGACTTGGTAACTGTCCAAGGGGCTTCTGACACCAAATGGTGAGAAAGCAGAACTTTGGCTTTAACTACAGTCTAATGAGATGCTGCTGTCCTTGGCTGAAAGCATTGCTGTAGTTGGTCGTGAGAGTTTTGTGCATGGGCAGGAGGACAATTCAGGACAGCAACAGCATAAAAGCTTTGGCCAGCTCTTCAGTGAAGGCCAACTTTAGGGATTCATAAGGATTAAGTAGACAAGTTTCAGTTAAACTTAATGAACATACATTGATCTACTTAACATGAGTATGCAAACCTCACGGGGCTTAAAAAAATGGGGGAAGGATGCTGCCTCCCACCCATACTCACAAAAAGGATGTGCTTCAGAAAGGATGCGCTGCAGTTTTGCCTTGCCAGCTCAGCCTCAGCTTCCCCACATACTCAGGACGGAGCCTGCATTTAACACCACTTTCAAAGCACTCTACACTTTACCTACAGATTTCCTGCACATATGACTAAAATCATAACAACAATTAAAGACATTGCTACTTTGGCACTAGGTCTGAAAAGGTGGAAAATAAATCAATATAACTAGACCTTGCAGGCAAATAAGCTAGTCAAGAGTATTTCAGCTGAATATGAAAACTGAAAGCCTAATCTAAAACTCTAAAAATGGTAGGAAAAAAGCACACTTTCATCGCCCAAATGGACAGACACACGCACGCACACACACTGAAGGAGAAACAATTTTGTTCACCGTACATCTCTGGCCCTGACATTCATTAGTATTTCTGCACTAACTCAAAAGCCATTAATTTCTCTGAAACCCACACTAATCCCTTTGTAGTGCAGATAATGGGCAGCCATTCTAGAGTCATCTTCCCTTTCTATTAATCCAATCAGGGAGGCAGCGCTTCTGCAGCTCCAACTGCAATCTCTCTCGCTTCTATCAAGTACAGATGACAGTACAAGCTTCTCCATAATACGAAAACTCGTAACCTTCCCCCAGCCATCCCTCCTTCATCTGCACACAGGTTTGCTCGTCTTTTGTCGAGTTAGAGAAAGGCTATCTCTCCTTGCCTTTCACAGAGGCACCCCCCTCTCTCTCCTTTGCCCCACTCCTTCCCTTCAAGCTCCCATGAATCGGCTCCACTGGCTCTCGCTCTAACTGGGACAGAACCAGCAGTCAGCTTGATTAAAAATCCAATACCTCGAATTGTTTAGGCCAGGGCTATAGATGTCACCAGAGACAGGTCGAATCCATATGCTACACATACACCTTACAACCCTCTGCTCCTTTAACTACTCGATGTGCAGTGTGCCAGATAATACATTTCCACTCAAGAGAAAATGCTGCCACCTCTCCATCCACCTTCCAAACCGAAACAGCACCTTTTTTCCTGCCTACAGAGACAGGGAGAATAAACTGCAGAAGAGTAAAAAAAGGGAAATAATCACAGTAAATGGCCCATGCCTGAGCCATTTGGAGTTATAATTTCGAGGAAAAAGAAGGAAAAAGGCAGAGAGAAACAAAGAGAGACTCAGCAGCTGGGGACAGGGCAATATTAGCAACTGTCCTCTCCTCTGGGAACACCCACTCATCCCAGCTAGGAACCCTGCACCGAGCACACAACTACCCGTCTCCACATTTGGGGGCAGTTGGTGCAACCAGCACTGTTGGAGAGTGAGCCTAAATGTTGTCTCAGCATGTCCAGAAGATATATGCTCTTCAACAACTGACTGTACTTGTGTCCCAGTTGGCATGGCAGGAAAATTTGCCCTGTTTTCCACCACTGAAGCTTTTCTGATGACAGTAATACCAAGTAACTTGGAAAAGAGCAGAAGCAGAGACGTCTAGTTTCTGAGGGATTTGTCTCTTGAGGTGGCAACTCCACTTGACTCTCTTCACACTTAGTAAGAAATCTGGCATCTTCTCCCAGTGTCACCTCTTTTCAAGAGACCACTACAGCAATGGGACTCATAACTAGGTAGCAGTTTGCATTAATTCATATAAAGAAAGAGCATCTCTCCCCAGCAGATGGACCTTCATTCTTTTTCATCTTCTTTAGGCTCAGGGAAAACAAAACTTGCTTTGAAGAAGTTGAACTTGCAAACTCTTAATATTAGATTTGTGCATTGCTAGTGAGGTTGGCTTAGCTGTTCACCAAAAGTACGCTCCTCATTGAATGCACTGCCTAAACAGAAGGATGAAGAACCTGAAAAAATTATTATTTATGTCTTTCCCTTCAGGTGTGGCATTGTATAAGAAACATATGAGAAACTCTGCTGAAGTCTATAGTATCTCAGCTGCCCAGCCACTCAACCCAATCCTTTTTCCTCCTCTGCAGCAAATCAAACACTGGTACAGTGTTTGCTGAGCAGACCACTTGTGCATACTGACATGGTGCCTGGGCCAAGGGGGCAGTGGAGAAGGAGGTTGGATTCAGTCAAAGTGCAAGACCAACCCAGAACAGGACTCAACTCTGACAGAAACAGAAGAATAACAAGTTGAAAGAGATGGTTATGTACTACCAGCCAGGAGATGCATAAAACAGCAGCACTAGCAAACAAAGTAAGAATATCAAACGAAGATTGATTTATTGATTTTTTCACTCAATTCACCTTTAAAAAGAATGAAGAAAGGGTATAAAAAGACTGCCAAAGCTACAAAACCAGGGTCAGTTCACATTAGGAGAGTTAGCTGACACCACTAAGAGAATGATAGCAACTAGCCCGAAAATTCAGTTATGAAAGTCATCACAGCTTCACTGGAAACAATCAGCACTGCCCCAGGAGATGAAAACTCTGTTCATCAGCTTTATGGAGTGCCGTAACTCCAGAGCAAAAATCTTCATAAAGAATAACCCTCCTAACCAGAACAGCTTCACAACCAAACTCATCAGTGCTGTTTACTGTAATCCTCCTGCAACGTGAATTTATACACTGTATGTAAGCCT